CATCTCATGTGTTTACGGCTTTCGGGGGCCAAAGACCGAATTACAGAGCTGGTTTCAGCCATTTAGGAGTTGAGAGTTTAAGGGTTTCTGGTCGGTGGTATGTCTCGGGATGTGGCGTTTGAGCTTGTGGTTCTTGGGGGAACCCTCAAGCTTTTAGGCTGTTCTGAAGACTGCACCGTGATTTCATAAACTGTTCAGCCGTTCAGCCAAAACTCTAAACCCTAAACCCTAAACCCCGAAGCAAAGCAGGACTAGTCCTGTTGAGCCCTCGCCCTTCTGTGGCGTGGACGGCGACGATGAAGGCAGGCATCTCTGTTGCGATTTCAAGCCTGAAAAGTCTTTGGTTTAGGGTTTAGGGTTTCAAGCCTGAAATGTCGTTGGTGTGGCTGTTTCGGCTCAAGGGTTCGTTTGTTAGGAGTTTCTAGGGCTTGGGGGATGGGTTCAGGGTTTCGGGTTAAACGTAGGTCGACGGCATTGCGCGAGTAAGCCGATTCTGCGGAACGACCCCTGCCCGGATTGTGACAACATAACTTCCAACATCTGTGATGCGTGATGGACTTCAGATGTCTTCGGGATCTCCCCTTCGTGAACAGCTTTGCAAACGGACACCCCCAAACCCTAAACCCTCACCCATACGAGGCAGGCTTGTTCGCACAGACAAGGGCCGTTACACGTTAAGAAAAGCCTCGCCCATCGTGTGGCTTGCAGAACCTCAGAACCGAACCTTAAACCCTCAACCCTAAACCCTAAACCCTAAACCCTCAACCTCTGCGGGAGGAGCCTGCGACATGAATGCTGTGCGGAACAACTCTCAAGCGATGCTGAAGAGGCTGGTACAGAGCTTAGGGTCGGCTTTAGGGTTTAGGGCTTAGGGCTTAGGGTTTTGGGTTTAGGGTTTAGGGTTTATGGTCATTATTTAGGATTTTGGGTTTTGGGTTTAGGGTTTTGGGTTTAGGGTTTAGAGTTCGGGGTGCCAGGTGGTCTGCCTCAGGAGATAAGCCCATGGCTTAGCGTTTGGGGTTTGGCCGGCTTTGTGTTCAAAGTCCAAAGGCGGGACGCAGGGGTGCGGGGGTATCCCAAAGAAGAGTCCATATAGATTATAAATCTCTAGTCCTAACATAGGGGCTTAATACTTGCCTACACTTTTTTTTTTTTTTTGGGG